ACTTCTTAAATCCTTTTTATGCTCAAGAAAGGAAAAATTACTTTAAAGGCTTATCTTAATGGAAATTACAGCTAGTTTTGATTTTGCATATGAGTCAGTTGTGGATAAAACTGGCCAAGCCCAAAGACAAAAGGCCAAAATTTGCACTTAAATGGAAAAAATTACAAGTGACCATTTGACTTGAATTTCACTTGTTTCCCTGATTAGATTCCAACATTTGCAAACCGAAATGCTGTCTGCACCTGCCAAATATTTGTCATTTTCTGATGTGTCATTGAGGTGGATGGCCACAATAAAGGAAGGGCCTGCTGCCTGCCACATCAGTTGTCCAAGTGAATTTGGAAAAAGAAATTTCCTATCCTCTTTCTTTAAAAGAAGCATAATTTTTGCCATCTACAAACATCATTTACCATCCTTCCTACCCCTCATCCATTCTTCAAAAAAAATAAATAAACCTATGTATTTGAAGTCCCCTAGTTAAACGAAGCAAATACATTTGTTCAAAGATGGACTTGTTGATGTTAGGTGCCATCAAGTCAGTTCCCACTCATAGTGACCCTGTGTACAACAGAATGAAGCACTGCCCCGTCCTGCACCATCCTCACAATCGTTTTTATGCTTGAGCCCATTGTTGCAGCCACTGTGTCGATCCATCTTGAGGGTCTTCCTCTTTTTCAGAGGCCCTCTACTTTAACAAGCATGATGTCCTTCTCTAGGGACTGGTGCCTCCTGATAACATGTCCCCAAGGTATGTGAGATGAAGTCTCGCCATCCTTGCTTCTAAGGAGCATTCTGGCTGTACATTTTCCCAAGACAGATTTGTTTGTTCTTCTGGCAGTCCATGGTATATTCAGTATTCTTCGCCAGTACCATAATTCAAAGGCATCAGTTCTTCGGTCTTCCTTATTCATTGTCCAGCTTTCATATACATTTGAGGCCATTGAAAACACTATGCCTTGGGTTAGGCTTAGCTTAGTCCTCAAAGTGATATCTTTGCTTTTTAACCCTTTAAAGAAGTCTTTTGCAGCAAATTTGCCCAGTGCAGTGCAGGTTTGATTTCTTGACTGCTGCTTCCGTGGGTGTTGATTGTGGATCCAAGTAAAATGAAATCCTTGACAACTTCAATCTTTTCTCCATTTATCATGATGTTCCTTATTGGTCCAGTTGTAAAGATTTTTGTTTTATGTTGAAGTGTAATCCATACTGAAGGCTGTGGTCTTTGATCTTCATCAGTAAGTGCTTCATGTCCTCTTTACCTCAGCAGTCAGAGTTGTGTCATATGCATGTCACAGGCTGTTAATGAGTCTTCCTACAATCCTGATGCCCTGTTCTTCTTCATATAGTCCAGCTTCTCGCATTACTTGCTCAGCATACAGATTGAATCAGTACAGTGAAAGGGTACAACCCTGACACACACCTTTCTTGACTTTAAACCACCCAGCATCCCCTTGTTCTGTTCAAACAACTGCCTCTTGTTCTAGGTACAGGTGCCTCATGAGCATGATTAAGCATACTAGAATTCTCATTCTTCTCAGTGTTATTCATAATTTGTCATGATCCACACAGTGGAATACCTTTGCATAATCGATAAAACACAGGTAGACATCTTTATGGTATTCTCTGCTTTCAGCTCTGATCCGTCTGACATCAGCAGTGATATCCCTTGTTCCATGTCCTCTGCTGAATCCGGCTTGAATTTCTGGCAGTTCCCTGTCAGTGGACTGCTGCAACCACTTCTGAACGATCTTCAGCAAAATTTTACTTGTTTGTGATATTAATGGTGTTGTTAGATAACTTCCGCATTCTGTTGGATCGCCTTTCTTTGGAATGGGCACAAATATGGATCTCTTCCAGTAGGTTGGCCAGGTAGCTGTCTTCCAAATTTCTAGGCAGAGAGAATGAGCACTTCCAGCGCTGCATCTGTTTGTTGAAACATCTCAGTTGGTATTCCATCAGTTCCTGGAACCTTGTTTTCCACCAGCGCCTTCAGTGCATGTTGGACCTCTTCCTTCAGTACCATCAGTTCTTGATCAGATGCTACCTCCTAAAATGGTTGAACATCAACCAATTTTTTTTGGTACAGTGACTGTGTATTCCTTCCATCTTCTTTTGATGCTTCCTGCATCGTTTAATATTTTCCCAGTAGAATCCCTCAAATTGCAGCTCGAGGCTTGAATTTTTTCTTCAGTTCTTTCAGCTTTAGAAAATGCCAAGCATGTTCTTCCCTTTTGGTTTTCTATCTGCAGGTCTTTGCGTATTGTATTATAATACTTTGTCTTCTCGAGCTGCCCTTTGAAATCCTCTGTTCAGCTCTTTTACTTCATCATTTCCTCCATTTGCTTTAGGTACTCTACCTTCGAGGGCAACTTTCAGAGTCTCTTCTGACATCCATTTTGGTCTTCTTTCTTCCCTGTCTTTTTAATGACCTTTTGCTTTCTTCATGTATGATATGCTTGATGTCATTCCACTACTCGTCTGGCTTCAGTTGGTAGTGTTCAGTGAGTCAAATCTATTTTTGAGATGACCTCTAAATTCAAGAGGGATATACTCAAAGTCATACTTTAACTCTTGTGGACTTGTTTTAATTTTTTTCAACTTCAACTTGCACATGAGCAACTGATGGTCTGTTCCACAATCAGCCCCTGGCCTTGTTCTGACTGATGATATTGAGCTTTTCCATTGTCTCTTTCCGCAGATGTAGTTGATTTGATTCCTGTGTATTCCATCTGGCCGATGCCACATGTATAGTCACCATATATGTTATTAAAAAAAGGTATTTGCAATGAAGAAGTCGTTGGTCTTAAAAATTCTATCATGGGATCTCTAGCATCATTTCTGTCACCAAGGTCATATTTTCCAATTACCAATCCTTCTTTGTTTCCAGCTTTCAAGTTCCAATCACCAGTAGTTATCAGTGCATCTTGATTGCATGTTTGATCAATTTCAGACTGCAGAAGTTGGTAAAAATCTTCAATTTCTTCATCTTTGGCCTTAGTAGTTAGTGCGTATATTTGAATAATAGTCGTATTAACTGGTCTTCCTTATAGTCGTATGGATCTTATCCTATCACTGACAGCATTGTACTTCGGTATAGATCTTGAAATGTTTTTTTTGTTTGTTTTACGATGAATGTGACACCATTCCTCTTTAATTTGTCATTCCTGGCATAGTAGACCATGTAATTGTCTGATTCAAAATGGCCGATACCAGTCCATTTCAGCTTACTAATGCTTAGGATATCGATCTTTATGCATTCCATTTCATTTTTGATGACTGTCTTAGTTATCTAGTGCTGCTATAACAGAAATACCACAAGTGGATGTCTTTACCAAAGAGACGTTTTATTCTCTCACAGTCCAGTAGGCTAGAAGTCTAAATTCAGGGCACCAGCTCCAGGGGAAGGCTTTCTCTTTCTTTTGGCTTGGGAGGAAGGTCCTTGTGATGCATCAGTCTTCCCTTGCTCAGGGAGCATCTCAGTGCAGGAACCTCAGGTCCAAAGGATGCACTTTGCTTCTGGCACTGCTTTCTTGGTGGTATGAGGTCCCATGTCTCTCTGTTCATTTCTCTCTTTTATATCTCAAAAGAGATTGGCTTAAGACACTATATAATCTTGTAGATCTTACCAATATAACTGCCACTAATCCATCTCATTACATCATAGTGATAGGATTTACAACACATAGGGAAATCACATCAGATGACAAAATGGCAGACAGTCATACAATCCTGGGAATCATGACCTAGCCAAGTTGATAGATATTTTGGGGGGACACGATTCAACCCATGACAGTGACTTCCAGTTTTCCTGGATTCATACTTCGTACATTCCACGTTCCTATTATTAATGGATGTTTGCAGCTGTTTCTTCTCATTTTGAGTCATGCCACATCAGCAAATGAAGGTCCCAAAAGCTTGATTCCATCCACATCATTAAGATCAGCTCCACTTTGAGGAGGCATTTCTCCCCTAGTCATATTTTGAGCATGTTCCAACCTGAGGGGCTCATCTTCCGGCAGTATATCAGACAGTGTTTCACTGCTATTCATAAGGTTTTCACTGGCAAATGTTTCAAAAGTAGACCGCCAGGTCTTTATTCTTAGTCTGTCTTAGTCTGGAAACCTGTCCACCATGGATGACCCTGCTGGTATTTGAAGTACTGGTGATATAACTTCCAACATCACAGCAACACACAGGCCACCACAGTGCGACAAACTGACAGACACATAGGGAAAGATGGACTTAGTAGAATGTATACCTTCAGAGTCCTCCTTCTACTTTTGAAATGGTACTCAGAGGATGAATAGGCAATCATAGAATCTCAGCTGTATCAAAGATCATAAACAATGGACAATAGCACAAAAAGAATGTTTCTTCCTGCTGTGTCCCTTATGTTCACGATAGCTATGTCTCTGACTTCAATATTTTATATTCAGAAGAGTTTGTCAGACTTTTCTTATCTTTAAGACTATTACCTTGAACAATTCTGACCCCTATATAAAAATGGTTGCAAACATACTAGGAACCTTTGTCTCAACTAATGAAGAAAAAGAATGAAAACTGGCACAAGGGCCATAGGACTGTAATTTCTGACTATGGTTCTCTAGGTTTTAGAGCCCAGGGATACGGGTTGACCATAGGTGGCCATATCTCTACAAGGCCCTTATCTCTAGATCCCACCCATGCATAGAGTAGTAGAAGGTTTGTAACTAGGACAAGAGGCAAACCAAAAGCAGAGAAGACAGGCTGGGTAGGAAAAATGAAACCAGGTAATTTTCAATAAATTTATCATTATAATGTCACCATCTATTGTGAGCCCATTTAAATATTTTTCTTCATTATTTTTCTTTAAAAGTTCCCTTCATGGAGGTAGCAGCTAAAATCCTTATTCTGGGAGATAACGCAGAAAAGACATTAGTTAAACACAGATACATTGCTATGCTTAGAATGAGACGGGAGAGGCCGAGAACCACCTGTCCTCAGTCTGTATTCTTTGTCCTTAGCCCTGACAGCTGCAGCCGGAAGGGGCAAACTGGAGGTGTGCCGACTGCTCTTGGAACAAGGAGCAGCAGTGGCCCAGCCAAACCGCCGAGGTGCAGTGCCCCTGTTCAGCACTGTTCGCCAGGGCCACTGGCAGGTAAGCAGGGCAGCTGCTTGTACTTGTAGGTAAGGCAGGAGTGAGCTCTAGGTGGGAACTTCTGATACAGAAAGAAAAAAAAAAAAGCACAAATAAAGTTAGAGTTAACTGTAAACTCTCAGTATTCATTGAGTTTGAAGACTTGGGGCTTTGCTATTAATCTAGTTAACTGAGGATATAGCAGAAAGTTAACATTCAGAATCATCATTTTGATCGATATTGTATAGAAGGACTAACTGCTTTTGTCTTGGTCTTGGAGTAGCCTCCTTCTCACATTTCACCGTATCCACAGGTTCCCTGGAAGTTTTATTTCTTAACAAATCCCTGCTAACTACTTGCTTATAGGTGGCTCAGACTTGTTAAAAGAAAGTGCAGTGTATGCAAATTCTAGTTATACAACCTTTCCAGATGTTTGGATTCTGGATAAATACTAACTTATATACTTAAGATGGAAAATAAAACATACTGGTAATAATCTTTGGAAGTATTTGAATAGAAAAAGATTCTAGAACACAAACAGTGCTAAAGAATTATCAGAGGAACTTTTTTTTTTTTTTTTCCCCCAGTTTAGTCATAAATACTCACTGCGGGCAGGTTTGCAACTCCTAAAGGTCAGTAAGATGGCACTGACATAGGGAGTGACTTCTTGGGTTGGAGCTTCCGTTAAGAGATTGTTTAGTCTACATCTTAGCCTTTGTTATCTTAAATTCTTCTTTTACTTAGCGGCTGAGTCAGACATGCAGAGTTGAATCCTTCTCATCTCGCTGTCCCTGAGAGAGTCAAGAGGAGCCCTGATGATGCAGTGGTTAAGCACTCAGCTATTAACCGAAAGTTTGGCAGTGCGAACCCACCAGCCACTCCTCAGGAGAAAGATGTGGCAGTCTGCTACCATAAAGATTTACAGCCTTGTAAACCCTATAGGGCAGTTCTGCTCTGTCCTGTAGGGTCACTATGAATCAGAATCCACTCGATGGCAATAGGTTTGGGTTTGAGAGAGTCAGATTAAATCCTATGGTACTAGGACTATGCAGGTACTCATTGGGGGTTCTTGCAGTGGGTCGCTACATATAGAGATGACTCACCTACACAGCAGCAGGTGTTCACACGGTGTGAGGGACAGCACGCGTATGTCTTCTCAGCAGTCGTTCTTGTTCTGATTGGTCTCTGTTTCCCTGCACTTGCAGATTGTTGATCTTTTACTTACCCATGGAGCTGATGTCAACATGGCAGATAAACAGGGACGTACTCCCTTGATGATGGCCGCTTCCGAAGGCCACCTAGGAACTGTGGACTTTCTACTTGCACAAGGTCAGTCCTGAAATGCCAGAACTGGGTGGCCAGTGCCTATAATAGCCCCCCTGAACTCATGATTTCCCCTTATGGATTCCAGGAGTTGTTAAAAACATACATTATTAATTCAGTGGTTAGAAAATGAAAGAGTGTCTCCTCTCCTCTTATTTACAGTTTAACCCTTCTAGCTCTGACATTTTCTCTTTCCTTATGGCTTGAGGGATTTTTTATATTCTCATCAAATTAACATATTCCAAAGTCTTTAATTCAAATCAGTAATCTCCAAACTTGGAGTTTTTTAGTGTACATTCAATAAATATTCATCTTCTAGGGATTGTAGTTTGGCTTTGACTTTATTGATTCTTTTGTAAACCTGCACAACTAATGTTTTTCTTGTATCCAATGAAAGGCAAATGGAGGCTAAGACAGTTGTTGGCAGTGGGACCCTATTTGAGGTATCAGCATATGATTATTCTGCTGTTTTAGTAAATTCTTTTTTACATTTCTCAACATCCACAAATTCTTGGTGAGTGGGAAATAACTTAAAGGAGGTTGTGGTCATACCACCATCATAAAGCATTTCAGGCTCCTGTTGATTTCTCTGACCTCAATCACCTATGCAAAATAGTTGTGGGTGATGGTGGACCTCTGTAGTATAGTATAACAATTGTACATGTATATGCACCTAACATCAGACTCCCAAAATGTATGATCCCAAAAGATCTGAAGCAAAAAACTGACAGAAATGAAGGGAGAAATAGACAATTTTACAGTAATAGTTGGAGATTTCAATACACTACTTTCAACAATGGCCAGAACATCTGGAAAAAAGAGCAGTAAGGAAATAGAGGATTTGGAAAACACTATAAATCAACCATACCTAACAAATATATATAAACCACTCTAACCAATAACAGCACAGTACACATGCACATGGATTATTCTCCAGGATAGACCATATGCTAGGTCACAAAACAAGTCTCAATAAATTTAAAAAGACTGTAGTCATACAAAATATCTTCTTTGACCACAATGGAATGAAAGTAGAATTTAATGAAAGAAGGAAAACTGGGAAATACATAAATATGTGGAAATTAAACAACATACTATTAAACTATCAGTGGATCAAGGAAGAAATCAGAAAATGCTTAGAGTCAAATATAAATGAAAGTATAACACACCAAAACTTACGGGATGCAGCGACCTCAGAGGGAAATTTATAATGGTAAACATCTACATTTAAAAAGAAAAAAGATCTCAAGTCTGTAACCTAACTTTACAACTTGAGGAACTAGAAAAAGAAGAGCAAACTAAGCCCAAAGCTACTAGAAGGAAGGAAATAACACAGCTCAGAGCAGAAATAAATGAAATAGAGACTAGAAAAACAATAGAAAGACTCAACAAAACCAGAAATTGTTTTTTTTAAAACATCCATAAAATCAACAGACTGTTAGCTAGACTAACAAAAAAAAAAAAAGAAGATGCAAATAACTAAAGTCAGAAATGGAAGTAGGGACGCTACAACCAGTGCTACAGAAATAAGGATCATACTATGAGCAGTTGCATGCAATTTGGATAACTTAGATGAAATGGACAAATTCCTAGAAATACATAAATTGCCTAAATTGACTCAAGAAGAAATAGAAAATCTTAGTAGACCCATAACAAGTGAGGAGATTGAATCAGTAATCAAAAACCTTCCAATAAAAAAAAAAAAAATCCTTGGCCAGATGGCTTCACTGGAGGATTCTACCAAACATTTATAGAAGTGGCACCAATCCTTTCTAAAATCTTCCCAAAAATAGAAGAAGAGGAAACATGTCCTAATGCATTCTGAGGATAGCATTACCCTGATACCAAAGCCAGACAAAGATACCACAAGAAAAGAAAACTGTAGATCAGTATCCCTTACGCATATAAATGTAAAAGTCTTCAACAGAATACTAGCAAACCAAATCCAACAACCTATTAAAAAGATTATACATCATGATCAAATGGGATTTATTCTAGGAATGCAAGGGTGGTTCAACATTAGAAAATCAATTAGTGTCATACACAACGTTAATAGAACAAAGGAAAAGAACCACATAATCATCTCAGTCGATGCAGAAAAGGCATTTGACAAAATCCAACAGCCCTTTCATTATAAAAAACACTCAACAAATTAGGAATAGAAGGGAAATTCCTCAATATGATAAATGGCATTTTTTAAAAACCCAGAGCTAATATCATACTCAATGGAGAAAAGGCTGAAAGTTTTCCCCTTAAGATCAGGAGCAAGTCAAGGATGCCCACTCTCACCCCTGCCATTCAAAATTGTACTAGCCAGGGAAATTAGATAAGGAAAAGATTCAGATCAGGAAGGAAGAAGAAAAACTATTCCTCTTTGCAGAGGGTTACTATATATAGAAAATTCCAAAGAATCCACACAAAAATCCAGTAGAGCTACTAAACGAATTTAGCAAAGTAATACATAAAAAACAGTTGGGTTTTTACACACCAGCAATGAGCAGTCTGAAAAGGAAATTAAGAAAATTCCATTTACAATACCATCTAAAAGAATAAATATACTTAAGAATAAGTTTAACCGGGGAAGTGAAAGACTTGTACACTAAAAACTATAAAACATTGCTGAAGGCCTAAATAAATGGAAAAACATTCCATATTCATGGATTGGAAAACCTAATATTGTTAACATGTTAATACTACCCAAAGCAATGTATAGATTCAGTGCAATCCCTATGAAAATTCCAACAGCCTTCTTTGTAGATATTAAAAAAGCCAATCCTCGTATTTATATGGAATTGCAAGGGACCCCAAATAGCTAAAGCAGTCTTGAAAAAGAAGAATAAAGTAGGAGGACTCAACACTTTCTGATTTCAGAACATGCTGTAAAGCTACAGTAGTAAGAACAGTTCATGGCTGGTGTAAGGATAGACATATAGAGCAATGGAATAGAATTGAGAGTCCAGAAATAAATCATATAGTCAACTGATTTTTGACAAAAGATTCTTGTCCATTCAGTGGGGAAAGAATAGTGTCTTCAATAAATGGTGCTGTGACAACTGGATCGCCACATGCAAAAGAATGAAGCTGTATCCATACCTCACATTGTAATGAAAATTAACTCAAAATGGATCAACAACCTAAATGTAAGAACTAACTTACATAAAACTCTTAGAACAAAGCATAGGGTAATTCTTTAGTACTTAATTTTCAACAATAGATTCTTAGATATGACACCAAAAAGCACAAGCAACAAAAGGCAAAATAGATAAATTGGACCTCATCGAAATTAGAAACTTTTGTGCATCAAAGGACTTTATCAAGAAAGTGAAGAGATAGTCTACAGAATTGTAGAAAATACTTGGGAACCATATAATAAATAAGGACTTAATATCTAGAATACATAAAGAACTCCTACAACTCAACAGCAAATGAAAAACAGCTCAATCAAAAAATGAGCTAAGAACTTGAATAGACATTTCATCAAAGAAAAAAATCAAAAAGATGCTCAATGTCATTAGTTACTAAGGAAATACAAATCAAAACTACAATGAACTACTACCACCACTCCCCACTAGGACGGATATTATCAGAAAAAAACAGAAAACAGTGTTGGCAAGGATATGGAGAAATTGGAACCCTCATCCCTTGCTGGTGGGATTGTAAAATGGTGCAACTTCTGTGAAAACCAGTGTAGTGGTTCCTCAAAAAGTTAAACATAGAGTTACCCAGCAATTCCACTCCTAGGTTTTTACCCAAAAGACATGAAAGTGGGAACTCCGTAGGTGCTTATACACCATTGTTCATTGCAGCATTATTCACAATAGCCAAAAATTGGAAACAACACAAGTGTCCATCAACAGATGAGTGGATAAACAAAATGTAGTAGATCTATACAATGGAATATTATTCAGCCATAAAATGGAATGAAGTTCTGATAAATGCTACAACATGGATGAACATGGAAAACTTTATGCTGAGTAAAATAAGTCAAGAAACTAAAGGACAAATGTTATATGATCCCATATATATGAAATATATAGAAGAGGCAAATGCATAGAAACCAAGTTTATTAGTGCTTACCAGGGGTGGGTGGAGGGAGGAAGGGGAGTTACTGCTTAAGGGGTACTGAATTTCTGTTAAGGGTGATGAAAAAAATTTGGAAATGGATAGTAGTGATGGTTGCACAACATGGTGAACTTAATGTCACTGCATTGTACATGTAAACATAGTTAAAATGGCAAATGTTTTATTATATTTTTTTACCACAAAGAAAAAAAATTTTAAGTAACTGAAAGTACTGAAATAAATAATGTTAGCTATGATTGAAAAAAAATTATAATTACCCTGGCAGTAGTGTGAATGTTAGAGTTGATGAAGTAATTATAAAGGGCCAGGTCAGTTAGGAAGCCATTGTAATAGAATAGGTGAGAGGTAATGAGGCAAGGGCAGTAGCTGTCAGAATTAGTACAAAAAGGCCAAGTGCAAGAAATATATTTTTTACATGAAGACTGATTAGACGTAGGAAACAAGAAAGATAGAAGAATTGAAGTTAATTCCAAAGTTTTAAGATGGATGTTTGGAAGAACTTCATGAGGTTCCCCATTAACTGCATGGGGAGGAGAAAAGAAAGGAGGATGATTACAAATTGAATTTCAAAGTGTTGAACATATTATGGGTTTATTTCATATGCATCTCCTTTTAACATCTTAAATTCCAGCTTTCCTTATGTTTGGAGAATCAGTTTATCTGTAATATACATCTAAAACCTGATCCTCTGCTTTTTCTGCCACTGCAGGCTTTGTCCAGGGAATTTATAAATGTTGCATCTGAGACACCTCCTTGGATTCTGACCCATATTCACATTCATTCCATGTTAGATTCAGTGTTTGATTGCCAACAATGCCATTATGAAAAGAAACCCAGTACATAAATAGCTCTCATCAGAGTCTGAGTTATGATGTTTCCCAGCCCTTTATCATGCTTCCATAGAAAGCCACAAACTCTGGTTATCTTACCTCTAGGGATACAAAGGTTAGGCCAGATAACTGGTAGGTAGAACCTAAACCTTGTGGTAGATCCTAAGCTTGAGCTGACATCTGAATCCTCTCCGTCTAAGGAGGAAGCCTGGAAAGTGTCCCATATGCAGTAAATTGATCTCTGTTTTAGTTAGCGACTACAACGTGCTAACTATGTGAAAAGAATTATTTTAGATATTCTTCAAAACTAGCAAGGAAATGATAGATTCCTTGTCATCCAAGAGCTTACAATCTAAGCCTAAGAACCAAACATATATTGAATTTTAGAATAAATACGAAACAGCATATGCTTGATCCTTACAGATGAAAATAGAAATGCTGCTCTTCCGAGGTTCACCATTCAGCCGGGGAGTGGACAGCCCCATAAAACCAAATGGGACTAATGAGGCACAGCAGTCCAGGGGCAAGGACTAGAAGGCAGAAT